CCTTCCTTCCTTCCTTCCTTCCTTCCTTCCTTTCTTTTCTTTTTCTCTGGTTTTTTTGAGACAGGGTCTCACTATGTAGTTGAGATTGACCTGGAACTCACTGTGTAGCCCAGGCTGGTCTCAAACTCACAGCGATCCTCCTGCCTCAGCCTTCCTAGTGCTGGGATTACAGGTGTGCACCACCATGCCTGGCTTCCTTAGCAGTTTTCTATATACAAGATAGCATCGTTAACTGTAATCACCATGATATATAGTAGATCTCTTGAACTTATTCTTCCAACTAAAATTTTGGTAACCATCATTTTACTCTCCATTCCTACGAGTTCAAAATGTTTTACACTCCACTGCATTGAAGATCATGCAGTATTTGTCTCCCTGCGCCTGGCCTGTTTCAGTTGGTGTGATGCCTCCCACATTCATCCATGTGGTCAGAAATGACAGGATCATCTCCTCCTCTGCCTCTGCCTCGTAGTTCAGGGTGGCCTAGAACATGCAGCACCCCTCTTGCCTCAGCCTCCTAGTGCTGGGATTACAGGTGTGCACTATCACGCCCGTATATCCTGTACCACCCGGCATTTTCTGCATTTTCTTTGTCTGTTTATTAGTGGACTGATGATTCCAGAACTTGGCTATTGTGAATATTGTGAATATTGCAGTGGACATGGTATTGCAGATACTTCTTCACCACACAGATTTCATGTGAGAGTTCTATTTTTAATTTTTTGAAGGGGTTCCATTCTGCTTTTCATAAGAGCTGTGCTAATTTATATTTCTATCAACAGTGGACAAGAGTTGCCCTTTCTCCACGCTCTCACCGACGTTTGTTACCTTTCGTCTTTCTTACAGTAGCTGCTCTAATAGGTGGTTTTAGTTTGCATTCCCCTAAAGATTGGTGATGTTGAGCATTTTTTCATATTCCTGTTGAACATCTGCATATCCCTTTTTAAGAACTATTGGGTCATTTGCCCACTTTTAATTGTGTTTTTTGGTTTTCTTGCTGTTGATTTCCTCATATATTTTGGATATTAACCTCTTTTCTCAAACGAATAGTATGAAAATATATTGTTCCATTCTGGAGGGTGTCTCTTCACTCTTGATTGTTTCCTTTGCTATGCAGAAAGTTTTTGTTGGCTATAATCCCATGTCTCGTTTTGCTTATTCTTTGGGGGTTATATCCAGAAAATCTTTTCCTAGACCAATCTCATGAAACTTTCTTCTGTGTTTTTGTTATAATTTTTTTTTTCTTTTCCGGTTCTGGGGATTGAACTCAGGACCTTGCATTTGCGAGGCAGGCGAGGTGCCACTATGCTAACTCCCCAGCCCTCTTTTATGTTTTTGTCTAGTATTTTAACAGCTTCTGGTCATATATTTAAGTCTTTTAGTCATTTTGAGTTGATTTTTGTGTATAGTGTGAGATGAGAAAACCTAAATGAAGACAGATTTTCAGCACCATTTATTTATTTATTTTTTGGTACTGGGATTGAACCTGGGTCCAAGGGTGCTTGCAAGGCAGGCAACTGAACCACTGAGCTAAATCCCCAGCCCTCAGCACCATTCATTGAAGGGTCTATCTTTTCTCCATTGTGCATTCTTGGTGTCTGTGTTGAAGACCAATTGATCATAAATGCATGGATTTATTTCTGGGCTGTTTTGTTCCTTTGGTCTGTGTGCCTCTCTTTATGCCAATGCCATGTTGTTTTGATTACTGTAGCTTTGTTATGGATTTTTTGTGCTTTGCTTTTTAATTTCATGTGTATCAAAAATATCTCTGAAGTATTTTATATTTTTTCTTTTCTCATCTTAGAATTTCAAAATACCACTATATGATAGTAGTTATGATAAAAACATTATTTTTAGTTAAGCCTTATAACAATGGCTATGTATAATCACAGGCAAATACATATGGGAAAAAACTCACCAGAAATGCTTTTTCGGGTTATTTTTGTTGTTATTCAGTGGACATCAATATGAAAGTTATACTTCCTCTAACAATTTTGTTAGCTTACAGTTTAATCGAGATGCCTTTTGTTTCATTGGAAAGCATCATTATTCATCCTGTTTCTGAA